ACACCTTTTAAGAAGCACTCAACCACCTTCAATTGTTGGAATATTAGTACTAAAATTGAAAAGGCACAATTTATAATGGTTACACCAATTGGTAGAATGAAATGAGAGAAACTAGAAGGGGTTCCATTTCCTCTCCTCAAGTCTTAGGCTAGTCTCATGTCATGTCTTATTTAAACATTCATATATATCATCGCTATGCATACATATGAATCACACCTCACCATACATCATATATCATACATACATGATTCAAAACATCAACTTAACATGCATAAGCATCAATTTAAATCAATTATTTATAAACATATTCACGCGCAGCGCAGTCAGCTCGCGCCTGGCCTAACACCAACCCAAGAGCTCTAAGCTCTTCCACGCCCGGCGCGCTCAACCTGCGCCCGACCTAATCACAGTCAGAGAGTTTCAAAACTCTCATCCAAACCAACCAATCCAGCCACATGCAAACACAAAACACAATGCATATGCTCCATACGACTCAAAATAAACTTAAATCTCACATGCATCCAACCTATGCATCAAAATCATCAAAATCCTCCTTTTTCTCAAAACCCCAAAAAAATGAGATTTTCTTCAATCCATCTATGGATTATCGACATTCATGCATCAATTGAGTTTCTAAACTCACATGCAACCTAAACAACAAATATTCTATCTTCCCTCACCTGAAGATTGACTCAAAATAGCCAATAACTGAGAAGAAGTAAAATTCCCTTCCGAAGCTCAACCCGGAACTTCAATCCTCCCAAAGTAAGCTTCCTAATCTGAATTTCAAGAAAAGACATAAGGCATTAGTGATCTAGGGGAGAAAATGAATCATACAGAGAAATTTGGGAGAGAAAGGAGCTCACAGACCCAAAGTCCTTATCTCTAAAACTTCTCTCTAAAAATCTCATTTTCTCCTCAACCACAAACCCCTATTTATAGAAGTTCCGGAGTGGCCAGAACAGCTTTTTCTGTATCCGGAACGGCCCGTTCTACACTCCCTCAACACGTACAAAAATCACGTGCAGAACGATCCGTTTTGGGACTCATCCAGAACGACCTGTTCTCCATACAGAACGACTCGTACTCCCTCCGGAACGACCCATTTTGGAGTTTGGAATGACCCGTTCTCCCTCCAAAACGGCCTGTTCTCAGCTACGTTTTTCAAGTCAACTTAGTAGTTTGGAACGGCCCATTTTAGGCTACTAAATCAACCATATTGGGCTTTTTGAAATAATTTGCTATGTTACAATTTGATGTTTCATTTTTATAAAATAAAATTGACGTAATATATTCATTTCAAAATATACTAAAATATGAACACTTTGATCACCTTCAAATGGTTATTCAATTCTAACGAAATTTCATATACACATATAAAGTGATATGAACTTTCAATCTAACGATTAAATTTACAAAATTCACATTTAATATAAAATTATTTAGTGGTATAACACTTGGTAAAAATTACACCTGTGTAATTATAACTCCTCTTAAATATATCATATTTTCCTTTAATAATTTTTGTTCATAAATTAAATAATAAATAGTTAGAAGGCCAAATATTAACTCTTAATGGGGAAGCGGAACCACGTTCCAAGTCAAAGTATGAACGCGTTCCTTTGAATTTTGACATTACAACTCCATCACGGATTCGCTAATCATTCTTATTTCGAATCACGTTCAATGATTTAAAATTACGTTGAAATAATATTTATGTGTTTGATTTTATATCGAGAAATTAATTTAGAGTTTAAATAATTTTAGCATACTAAAAAATAATTTTAAAATAAAATATACAAATATAAATCATATCATTTTAAAATTAACTTTACGATTATATATATATATAT